TTCAGTCCAGCGCTCTATCCATTTAGCTAACCGGGAGGCGGATCTTAAGGGCCTAGAAAATACTACCAGCTGGAGGTTCAGCCTGCATAGTTAGTTGAATTTGCCCAATTTTTTTATCATGGCTTGCTTCACATTTAACTTCTCTACAGTTCAAATTAGTCTTACGTAACTTTCTATAGCTGACTTAAAATGATATTTCGAACAATGTTTGACCTTGTTAACAATACTTCTGATCAATCACAAATATCATGAAAATAGAGACTATTCCAACCCACTCATACTTATGCAGAATATTACATGATAAACTTCAGTAAATCTGGTTGACATGTTCAAGTCTGAAATGAATTTCAAGTCAAATTCAACTAAAACTGGTTTGATTTGCATTGAAATAAATCCAAAACCAAAGAAAATACAGATCAAACTTATTTAAAACTTATTTACCTTAAATTCATTTGAAACATAATATTGTCAATCATTTGACAAATTTATGCAAATTTATTCAAGAAGAAAGTGATTCCTAGGAGTGTTAGACCGATTTGGAGTGCAGAAAAGTTAAATACGAAGCAAACTGTAATGAAAATTGTGCAAAGTTGACTAAATATGTAAGCTGTACCTCTAGCCGGCAGTATTTTCTAGGCCCCTTAAGATCCTACAAGCTAGAGGCAGGATGAAAATATAATGAAACAAATGAAAATATAAAGAAACAAATGTAAATGTATTCTTTAAAAAAAAATGATTGAAAGGATTTTAAGACTAATTAAGAATGCAAACAAGTGAAATATGAAGCAAACCGTAGTAAAAAAGTTGAACAAAGTCGACTAAATATGCAGGCTGTACCTCTAGCCGGTTGTATTTTCTAAGCCTTCCGAAATCCAACCGGCTAGAGGTACAAGACACTAGGAATTTCATCTTGGGGATCTTTCTAACCAGGAGCGTGATGAAAAGGGCTTTATGATGGCGCCACTATCCATATATTTTGTTTACTGTTGCAAGCGTGGGTCCTTGCGGCTACAGTGTTAAAGTCTGTTAAGCTAAAACTCTGCGGGATCAAACAAGAAACTTGAGATCGACGAGGATGAAGGGAACAGCCATACAAATTTTTTAACGAAATTTCCTTAATTTAACCTCAACAATTTATCATTCACATGTAAACTATTTACTGATGTTCAAAGCTGGTTCAATCACGTCGCTTGACTGCTGTTAAATCGCAAATGGTTTTACTTGAATAGTCCGTTTAACTCGGAGACACGTTACTAGTGCTCCTCGGCGTAGAATGTTTGGCATTGTTAGCCGAGCGGAGAGAGGCTTGGGGAGAGGAAAGGAAGGACAGGAAGGGCCTGCTATGAGAGGCCCGCATTCCGCATAACTACATTCATCTCGTGAATGTAAAATTCCCATTGGTCAATCGTCTGTCAATCAAACCGTGCTCTTGTTATTCGAGTGAAGGTGTGAAAGCTTCAAGCCTCGGTCAATAGTTACAGTTTATACACAAAATCTCTTTTTAAAATCATAGTTAAAATGCGATACTTTCAGGATGAATTTCGATAGTAAGTAAGTAAGTAAGTAAGGACTTTATTTATAGAGGGAGACACGTAACAGCTGTATAGCTGACAAACCTGTGGCCCTCTAACTAGATTATGCAACATTACAAAAAACTGATAAATAAATAAATATATAAATAATTACAAATTTCTATAATAGAAATAGCAGGATAGATTAAAAATATTGATAAAGATAAAATTAATTTATAAAAAATTAATATTAGATAATGTACTATTGCTTAATATTGTTTCAAAGTTGTCCAGGTTTTTATGTGAGCTTATAAGATGCTTTTTCAGAGCTGTTTTGAATAGTTTTACACTAGGCTTATTTTTGATATCATGGGGAAGGCTGTTCCATAACTTAACTGCGTCAACACTGAATGCCTTGCCACCATCGTTATTTCTTAGGTATTTGGGACACACTAAATTTAAATTGCCATGTCTAGTAGATCTAGTAGATACCGTGATTTCTGAAGTTTGTGCAAGCAAACTGAATGGTGTTCAACTTAAAAATGAACAAAAACTTGCAGTGGAATCCCTCCTTGAACGCAAGGATGTACTCGCAGGCTAACTTTGATGAGAATACGTTAAAAAACATCTTAGAACAACGCGAAATCAATCTGAAAAACGAACAGCGCCAGGCTTTGGAACAGCTCTATGTCAAAATGAAGGATCTTGTAGTTATTTTGCCGACTGGGTTTGGAAAAAGTTTAAATTTCCAAGCTCTACTGTTGCTTACACGCTTCGAGGCCAACGACGATAAACGGCCCGTTGTGTTGGTTATAACTCCACTTACAAGCATCATACAAGATCAAATACTCGAACTTGAATCTCTTAGTTTCCAAAAAAATATTTGCATCCGTTTGAACGGCTTCGGTCATCCGTTCGTCGAAATCATCAGCCCGTTCGAACGGCTTGGTCACCCGTTCGTCGAAAACATCAGCCCGTTCGAACGGCTTGGTCATCCGCTCGTTGAAAAAATTAGCCCGTTCGAACGACTTGGTCATCCGTTTGTTGAAAAACATCAGTCCTTTCGAACGACTGGGACTAATTTCCGTCGAACGACTTGTATCATCCGTTTGGAAGGTTCATACTAGTAACGCCACCCGTTTATTGAAAATAAATTCTTACGTTCGAGCGGCATCAGTCATCTGTGCTAATGTTTACAAGATTTGTCTAACTTCATTCGCTCGAGTTCCCTCTCAACCGAAGATGGACACGAAGCCCTGTATCTTTCAGAAACTGACAAAGAGATCAGGAAAACCTTGACCTAAAAATCGAGGTGTGGAAAGAAGAAGATTCCCCCCGAAAAGTTATTTAGGGCCTTCCTGATCAGCCAATTCACCTTCTGAACTGTCTAAACCATTTATTATTTGACTTAATCATTCCATCGAGGCCGAGTTACTCATCTGTGTTTTAACAACATATTTTCAAATTAAACATACCGTCTTACAGGTTACAATTACATACCTTCTGAGAGATGTTGAACCCTCAACTAAAATTGTATTGGAAGTTGGGAAAAGGAGACCAACACACACACATAAAAAAACAGAAACGAGAAAACGGAAACGACTGAAATGTCTCAAGGCCCCAGTCTTAGTAGTTCCGTCTCCAAGGATTCGTTTTACAGCCTACTTAAAAGCTTGACACTGTTTGCTCGCTTTCATGGGAGAAATTACTAATTATGAAAATTACCGTTGTGTTGATATTATTTTGTCACCTTGTTGTTCCAACTGATGCCATTCTTATCATTTCTAGGTGGAATCTAGTCAGCGGAGAGTGTCTTCAACTTAGCAACTGGGACGTCTGGCTTCACGTCATCACTATTTAACGCCAGTTATGTTTCGTAAGCTGAAATACTGCGTCACAGTTTTAATTTCAAAAATAACCAGATGTAATCCGAAGCTTTTAACTGTTGGAATTATTTTGGCTGTCGCGATACCCACTTTGGTCTTTGGTGTTTTTCTCAGCTTCCCTCGAACTCCGCTTCCCAGGCGGTTTAGACCTAGTAGCGATTGTAAAGTTTGGAAAGAATCTCCAAAGCACAAAACGACTTTGATAACAAAGACCTCATGTGCAAGGAACTATTTTCTTCTCATCCTAGTCTCATCTGCACCTGCAAATCAAGCTAGAAGAAATCATATTCGTCAAACCTGGGGCATTGACAGCAACGTGCTACCGGTATGGAAGACGTACTTTCTTATAGCGCAAACAGAGAATCAAACACATTCCGATTTGGTCAATAAAGAGGAAGAAGTCTACGGTGACTTAATTCGCGCGGACTATTACGAGCATTACTGGAAACAGAGTTTTAAGATTATGATGGCCTTCGAGTGGGCATCACGATATTGCAATTTCTCATACCTACTAAAGGCAGATGATGACATTTTGGTCAATATCGAAGACTTCATTCAATTTTTGCAGAAGAAATCAACTCCAAAAAAAGAACTTTTCCTTGGATATCTTCATCATAACCCTATTGTACTTCGAAGGGGAAAATGGAACGTTAGTTACGAGGAGTACAACCATACTCACTATCCAGATTTCTGTAGTGGGGCTGGCTTTGTTATGACTTATGACGTTATCGAGTGCATTGTTCCCTTGTTTGACGCGATTGAGCCATATAGGATGGACGATGTTTATGTTGGAATGCTTGCTAATGCATCTGGTGTGATAGCAGTGCATCATTCAGGGTTCTTTATGCCAGTAGATGATTATGACGACTGCATTTTTAAACCAAAAGTTCTTCTGCAGCACAGAGCGACTGGACAGTGTTTAACTAAATTAATACGTATTCATAGCAAGGACTTTTTGTATGGCACAAATTTGGGTTCATATTTTTGACGCTTTGTTGACTTTTTTACTAAATAATCATTTTATTTGTAAAGGGGCTTCCACATTTCGTACCATTTATGAAAACAGTTATGAGTTAAAGCCAAAAACTGATTTAACGCTGGTGAACACTAGAAAGATAATTTAATTTTCATTCAACAATTCTATAGTCATTTCAGTGATAGGCCATCCCGTCAGATACTGTTGTTCTCTTTTGTTTCAAATACGAATGGCACCACATTGATCGGAATTCATTGTAAGATAAGCTTTTAAATGAGAACTTAAACCCATCATGAGCGACGTTTGCAAAATCTCTTCCGCTCGGAATTTCCTTCTTTGTTACTTCCTGTAGAAATTTAATTCCTTGAAGGCGGCTTGAATTGGTGGGATCTTCCGGCTGGAATACTTTTATTTTTGAAAACCAAAGTGATTGCAGGCAGGTTTTGCAGAAATGAAGTTGTAGAACACTGCATTTGTATATCTTTAAGATAGCTATAACAAAGAAGACCAATCTTCCTTCGACAGTTTCCTTTGTAACAAACCAGAATCCATTTAGTCTTACGTCGTTTGGCCACAAGATAAACTCCTCGCGAACCAAGCTCTCTCAATCACAATGACTACGCTTGTGGCTTGTGTTAGACTTTTATTTTAGCTGTTACTATCTGTCACTATCCATGATATAAAATCTTGTACAATTTCGAACTGATTGTGCCCAGCTCCCAGAGTTCCACTCGGCGTAAATGAATTGTTTTCGCAAATTTTTTCAAAATCACGTGGCGAAATATACTAAGCTGAGGAAGCACATCGCCCATGATGCTTGTTTTCTGATCAAAACCTCTAAGCTGTTTCTTTAGAAGCAGCGAAAGTTAAGAAAGGAAACGGAAAGACAGGACTTTTTATGCAAAAGCTCGTTGAGAGGTAGCCTTATAGTTAAACAAAGAGAACCTTAAGAGAAGCTAAACCTCTTTCTTCATCGGGGATCTCAGTATATCTTTATCATTGTGACGAGAAGAAAAAGAATTCTGATCGTCTTTGAACGTTTATCATAAATTACTACTTATCAATATCTATTGAGGTTGCAGCCAATAAACGCGAACTCAATCACCTGCTTTAGACCGCTGTCCATCTGTGCAGCTGAAAACATTTTGTATATCTCTTCAGAAACAAAGCGAGCAAATATCTGGGTAGTAGCAATAAAATTTGATTTCAAAGCTGGCAGATATACGTTTACTTCTTTAATGTATATTTTAACAGACGAGTACTCTTTTCCTGCTAAAGCATAGCTCGTAGGTAAATAACTCTTTTTATCTGCACTAAAGATGCGAACTTGCATGGTTAAAATAGAGATCACACCCTACAGTTAAAAATAGTGATTGTAAACGTTATTTAGTAAAACGTTGACTTAAAAAAACAGACAGCTATTCCACTTATTTATCTCATATTGTCACTTTGGCTTTGTAACTTTATACTCGTGAAATTCTCAGGTAAACTGAACGATGTGGAATCTCAGGAAGTGCAAATTGCAAAATGTCATGAATTTCCCCACCTTTTTTTATTTAAACATCTGTTGTTTCACCTGTACAAATTGGACATAGTGTTTAACATGACACAGCATTCTTCTTAAAGGTACAAGCCTCTTTTTAAAAGAACAAAAAACCAACACTAAGCTGGGAAGTTTTAGTGTGAGGTAAAATTCTCACTTTCGTTATGTCTGTACGGCCACCAGTGGTTGTGTTATTTGGGGCACTATTCCTGCTAGGTAAAACTATTTGAAGTGTGAAATACGTAAAACTGCAAGAAACCAAAATATGGTTTTGCTATTAATAGCCATGCAATATTTGCTTGAGTCTTGCTTAGGAATCTTATTTTATGGAAGCCCGAGAAAGATTTGAGCAAAACGGAAGTTGGGAAGCCTTCAGATAGCGTAACTCCTATCGTTCGTCTTTTACTCATGTCTGCTCATGATATAACCTACGCATCATATAATGCTATCATTCTTTTTCAGGGACACTGCCCAAAGTTGAAGGTAATCTTATGGTATTTTAAGTGTCTAGCTGATCCGTGAAAATATTTCTTATCATACAACGCATGTTTAGCACCACCACCTTATTTAAAACAGATAAATGAAGGGAACACTAAACTCTGCCAGGTGTCCTTAGAGAGATGCTCCGTTTAGTGCCTAACTCACACACTAAATAGCCGAAAAAACAAACCGAGATAAAAACTGATAAATTCAGGTTCCTGCTTGAGGGTTACGACTGCCAGTGGATCTCACAATACACATTTGTGCTCTGCTAAGCCTTAAAACGGCAGCCATGACATTTGGTTTAAGTATTAGATCACATCTTTAGTTCGATATTGACCACTTTCTGAAGTTAAGTAAGCAAATAAGCTAGGAAGGGCTAAATTTGAATCAGCTTCAAAAAAACTGATTGTGTTTCTACTCATTATGAAGAAAAATAAAATGGGTAATACCTCCTAAAATTAACACTTGCCAATAGATATTACTCTTTACTTTCGTTCCTGAAAGGCTCTTACGAAGAGGAAGCTTTACAAGCGCATAACAACTATCGCAGGATCCATGACGCCCCACCAATGAGGCTGGACTTTGGTATGAACCAGCAAGCAGCAGCTTATGCTCAGCACTTAGCACGCATGGGCTCACTGCAGCACTCGAGTTCTAGTCAGAGGCCAGGGCAGGGTGAGAATATCGCCATGGCATGTGGGTCTGGAGGCCTGTCCGCGCAAAGAGCTGTTGATATGTGGTGAGTACTGAAAAGAAAATAGAAAACACTTCACTCACAACCCGTTTCAAGAGGAAATAATGGCTTCTCTTACTCGTTTTAGTACCTGACTAATCTACTTACAGGTAAACTTTTCGCTATGTAAAAAGAATTGAGCAAGTTCTACCATTTTACTGTTAAAGTTCAGATCATTCCAAAAGAGAATGCGGTAGAACGTTCCTTTTTCTTTAGCTTCTGACCTTTCCTGCTCATTCCTTCTTTCCTCTTTCTATTAAAGGTACAAAGAGGTTTGCCAGTACAACTTTAACAATCCTGGATTTGGATATGGTACAGGGCACTTCACGCAGGTAGTTTGGCGAAAAAGCGTGAAATTGGGAATGGGTTCTGCTACGTCTGGAAGATGCACTTACGTTGTTGGCAGATATGGGCCCGCGGGGAATATGATGAGCGACTTCAGTAACAACGTTGCAAAAGGAAGTTTTGATAAGAGTAGTTATTGTAACGGGGGTGGGGGTNATTCTTTAAAAATCTCGAAATCTTACGGGCGCCATCATTTAAACTGGTTAATATATCTTGTTATTAAAAACTGGATCATTGGATAATGCAATTCAAGACTTTTTATCGGTTTAGCCATTATGGTATATGAGCCAATATACCATAATCTACAAATATGGTAAGCGTACGCGTCAGCTTAAAATCAAAAGGGAGCTAAAAATCCGGTTTCTTCTTACAAAATAATAATTTCTTTGGGGCGTTTTCAATAAAACAATTATTCCACTCGCGCTTGTTGGATAGGAGATTATTATAGCCAACTCGGCGCTACGCGCCTCGTTGGCTACCTATCATCTCCTGTCCAACGCGCGCTCGTGGAATAATTGTTAATTAGACGCTTTATTGTGTAGTATCGCTGAGTATTTTTACGGGTTGTGCCGTATTTTGGCGATCCCGTAGGGCGAGTTAAAATACAAACAACGAGTAAAAGTAATCAGCGATACTACTCAACAAAACGTCTAATAAGAGATTTATTATCCAACACGCCAGTTTGTTATTTCAGTGCGAGCGAATTTCGCGGATATTTCTGGAGTACAAATATCGCGTGATATTTGTCCCCGTCTCAAGCGTTATTTGTCTACGAAGCGCAATTGGATAATAATAGAGGGTATTGTAAATAATACACTTAACTGGTCAAGATTTTCATTTACTTCTCCTTGAGAGAGATAATTATTCAAACTGGTTGCAGAGGGTATTTTAAATACAACTATTAACCCGTAAAGCTTTTCATTTACTTTTCGATAGAGATCATTCTGACCTTCCAATGGCTTCTTATACAAATCATAGGTAATATCCCTTAATAGGTAATGATCGTTCATTTTAAATCTCACACTGATTTAATTTTTCCATGCTGCATATATTTTGCTTTTGGCAATGACTAACCTCCCGTAATGATTCTGCTGTGGTCAGTACGTGCACGTGTATAATCTATGGCCGAGCAGAGGCTAAACCCTAAATCGTTTCTCAGTAACGTCCTCCTTCGGTGATCAAAATCGATCGTTAGGCTAATTAGGTCATTTATAGTTTCTTTTTTCCTCACAGCTACTTTACTTATTTTAATCTAGATTACACCATTTTTTTGACTGACTTTTCTATCTTAACACCCGTAGTTTCACCTGTACAACCTGGAAATATAGGATAACACGACCCCGCCTTATTCTTAAAGGCAGCAGCACTACTGAGAAGTAAACAGAGGCTACTCTGAATTCAGCGTTCTGAAGAAGTTTGAAAAGGGATTTTTCATCCCTCTTTCGAAATGTCTGTAGGGACATCTTTAGTTCTGTTGCTAGGGACACTGTACATGTTAGGTAAGGCCTAAGGGTAATGCGAATTACCTTCAGAGCAAAGTGAAGTATCTTGAATGATTTTAGCGTGAAAGCAACTTAAGTTCATCTCGGCCACAAACAAATGAGTTTCCGGTTGTGAAGGATAGAAACGACATATATTTAACCCGGAAAAAGCGCAAAAAGCGTTGAACAAGAGGAAGCCGAGAAATTACGTAATGATGAGACTAGAGAACCCACGATAACGTACAAGTCTTTCTGCCTTTAACTTGTTCAAATATTACCAGTGGTTGAATTTTTTTTCGCGTTATCGCCCTGTTCCGAGAACAATCATTGATTGATTTCGAGCGAGTTTTGAAACTTTTCTACAAAAGTGTCCGAAGTGACGGTCAGGTTCTTGAACTCGTCGACGGAAACTTTTTACATCACACTGAGGTGAATTCACATTTTTGGTAGCAGTTACATTTGCTCAAAAGTAGGCATTTTTACTTAATTTATTTTCCGATAGCTTTGTCTAGAATTCTTGGTACACCTTTGAAATCCTTTTTGTTTAATGAGCGGCCAACTGTAATGCTTTTTCTCGACCGCTTATTCACGTGGATACTTGCATTATTTGTTCTCAGTAAACGCTTTTAGGCAAATTTGAGATCGAAAATTTTTTCCCTCTAAAAGCCGGTCGGCATTTCTAAAGAGAAATTCATTAGGCAGTAGCTCTCGTCACCTTTGAGGGAGGTTTGTTACAACACTAGTTTAGAAATTAGTTTTACAAATCAGATCACTCATAACTTCTACAGCTATGTATAACAAAACGTTGACGATGAGAAATTATGATCGACTTGCTGAACAATCAGGAGCGAGTAATCTTGCTGGCTCTCTTTGTTTACCAAGAGTGCTCTCGTGAACAAAAAAATCCCGATTTGTATATTAGCTAATCAACATTCAATTATTTTGATGCGATATTTAAGACGATCAACTTACTCGAAGGTGGAACACGTAAACGCTTTTGGAGAAGGAGGTATTGTGTCACACAGTTTTCATCATCAAAGCAAGAGGAGGAACATTCTGGTGACAAACTGCGAGCTCACTGAATATCGACTTTTCATAATTGCCATTTTCCTTGTTGTCACTGAAGATCTTTTTCTATATTTCTATCATTCTTTTTTAGGGAGGCTGCTTAACGTTGAAGGTAAGTAATACACTTGTAGCTAGGTCCCTTGATACCTCAATAATTAGTGGAACTAGTAACAATTGTTTACCTTTATTCCTAAATGAATTCTGTGCGACATGTGAAGGAAACGCGCGGTGGAAAAGATGTAGTTTCATGTTTGTTACATGAATTCTTTAAAAGAGACCCCTTATCAACCATTGTACCTATCGTGCTCTCTTAACGATTGACGTTCCTAGATACGGAAGTGTTGCGGATGTCATTCATGACCTTCAACACAAAAATACGTGATCATCTATATAATCCAGTCTAGGCAATCACATTCTTAAAGCTAACCACTTGACTAAATGAACATTTTACCCGTTCAAATGATTAAGAAAATGAAAGAACAGATTGATAGATGAACGCCCACCACAGTTAATTTGTCAAATTCTTTGAAAAGGGTGACGCATTTGTCTTAGTTTTGACTGTAATGACACCATAATATACCAACTCCATGTCTTCAAATGAGGATACTGTCCCTCAGTCCTCATTGCAATTCACTGTAAATCTTGTGGATGACAACTCTCACAAAATAATAAATGTATTATCTTGTTTAGGCTCTTTTGAAGAGGAAGCTTTACAAGCGCATAACCAGTATCGTAAGATCCATGACGCCCCACCAATGACGCTAGACTCTAGTATGAGCCAAGATGCAGCAGCCTATGCCCAACGGTTAGCGAGCATGAACACTTTGCAACACTCGAGTTCTAATGATGGAGAGAATCTCGCCATGGCATGTGGGTCCCAAGGCCTGTCCGCACAAAGAGCTGTCGATATGTGGTGAGTTCTGGAAAGGCGATAAAGAACTTTCCACCAAAACTTGTTTTCAGTACCTGACCAAACACGTGACGTGTATGGCATTTCTCTGTGGGAAAAATGTGCTGTCACGAGTCACCTAACATGTGTTTCTGACATATGTGCCTGAGTGATAAGCTAACGATTCTACATTAATCACTATTACCTGCATTCCGTCTAAAAACTCTCAGCAAGTTTATGAATGAAAAGAGTTTATGAATGAAAGCAAAGCTGTGAAGTGATTTTGTCAGTGAAGAAGGTTTGAAATCGTTTCTATCATGTCCGTTTATGAACAGAAATTGAGAACAGTCTCGAAGATGCGTCGCTCACAGTGACATTGTTATTCCCATTTTCCGGGCTGTTTTTGTTCAAGAAACCGAGAGAAAATCTCAATCTCAATTCTGAAGCCGCCTAAATTGTACTCAAAAAACCATACGCAAATTTAGAGCTCCGTACTTTCTCATTTATTTCTAAATGATGAGCTTACCTCGCAACCCCGTCCCTAGTTTTATGAAAAGAATGTTTATTAACATGGCAGAGATGAGCTTCTTTGCAAATTATTTTCCAAAAGAAGATGATATTCAACGGTCATTGTTTCTTTAAATTAGCTCCTTACTCCTTCCTTTCAACCATAGGTACGACGAAGTTTGCAAATACAACTTTAACAACGCTGGATTTGCATCTGGCACAGGGCACTTCACACAATTAGTTTGGAAAGGAAGTGAAAAACTGGGAATAGGACAAGCCAAATCCGGGCAATGCACCTACGTGGTAGGAAGGTATCGGCCAGCTGGAAATATGATGGGTGACTTCGAGAATAACGTTTTTAAGGGAAGTTTTAATAAAGAGTTGTACTGTAATAAGGGAAATGGCGGTGGCGGAAATGGACAGGGAGGTGGAGGCGGTGGGTGGGGTGGAGGCGGTGGTTGGGGTGGAACACTGTACATGTTAGGTAA